GGGCTGGGGATTCGAACCTGCCACCTTAGGTGTATGTGGCTGGCGCCTTAGCTGCTTGAGCCACAGGCGCCGAGCCAAATAAAGGCTCTTAAAAAAATCTCTATTATGTTGTGGAGATACAAAATTTAAAAAAAAAATACCATCTTTTGGGCCAGGCATGGTGGCTCACACCTTTAATTTGGGATGCCAAGGTAGGAACATCAGTTGAGCTCAGGAGTTCGAGACCAGTCTGACCAAGAGTGAGACTGTCTCTACTAAAACTAGAAAAAATTAAATGGGCATAGTGGTTGGTATAGTCCCATCTATTTAAGAGGCTAAGGCAGGAAAATCACTTGAGCCCAGGCATTGGTGGTTGCAGTGAGCTATGATGATGCCATTTCCCTCCAGTCTGGGTGACCAAGTGAGACTCGGTCTCTAGGAGAAAATAATTTTTTTTTAAATTTCACCTACCCCTGTGTGCTCATATGCTTCCTCTGCATTTTTTTTTTTTTTGAGATAGAGTCTCATTATGTCACCCTTGGTAGAGTACCGTCGCATCACAGCTCATGGCAACCTCAAAGTCTTAGGCTTAAGCAATTCTCTTGCCTCAGCCTCCCAAGTAGCTTGGGAATACAGGCACTCCCACAACACCTGGCTATTTTTTGGTTGTAGTTGGCCCAGTCTGGATTCAAACCCACCACCTCCAGTGTATGTGGCTGGTACCCTAGCCTCTGACCTACAGGCACTAGAGCCTTCCTCTACATTTTTTTTTTTTTTTGAGACAGAGTCTCAAGCTGTTGCCCTGGGTGGAGTGTGCTGGTGTCACAGCTCACAGCAACCTCCAACTCTTGGGCTTAAGAGATTCTCTCGCCTCAGCTTCCCAAGTAGCTGGGACGACAAGCAACCGCCACAACGCCCAGCTATTTTTTGGTTATAGTTTTTTTTTTGAGACATTCTCACTTGTCACCCTTGGTAAAGTGCCGTGGTGTTAAAGCTCACAGGAACCTCCAACTCTTGGGCTTAAGGGATTCTCCTGCCCCAGCCTCCTGAGCAGCTAGGACAACAGGCACCCACCTCAACGCCTGGCTTTTTTTTTGCAGTTGCCACTGCTGTTTTTTAGCTGGCCGGGGCTGGGTTTGAATCCACCACCCTCGGTATATGGGGCTGTGGCCCTACCCACAGAGCTCAGGCTCTGCTTTCCTCTGCATTTTTTTTTTTTTTTTTAGAGACAGTCTCACTTTATTGCCCTTCGTAGAGTACTGTAGCGTCACAGCTCACAGCAACCTCCAACTCCTGGACTTAGGTGATTCTCTTGCCTCAGCTTCCCAAGTAGCTAGGACTACAGGCACCTGCCACGATGCTGGCTATTTTTTTGTTGCTGTTTGGCCAGAGCTGGGTTTGAACCCACCACCCTCGGTATATGGGGCTGGCACCCCACTCACTGAGGCATAGGCGCTGCCCTCTCCTCTGCATTCTTAATGGTAGAAGTCTTCCTTTATATTATCAGTAGAGATTATTAGATTAGATTATTATTATTATTAGATTACTTTTTTTTCTTTCTGATTGTACCAGCAGATCTCAAGGATCGTCAAGTTTAATTCACACTGTTCCTACAGATTCACTGATGTCAGTAGGCTAGGCTGGGGTTTGGAAAAGACTGATAAAGACACAGCTTTCAATATCCAAACAAAACAAAGCAGAACACAGCCTGGTGGTGAAAAAAAATTTAGGCAAAGAGAAAACATCTAAATAACGACTGGTGCCTGTGGCTCAAAGGAGTAAGGTGCTGGCCCCATATGCTGGAGGTGGTGGGTTCAAACCCAGCCCCAGCCAAAAATAAATAAATAAATAAATAAATAATGACTGGGCACAGTGGACAAGTCCCTACCTTTTGAGAACACAAACTCCACCAGGAAATTACAGTAGCTGAAGGTTGTTTCAGGACAAGGCTGAATAAATTAAATATTTCAACACCATATGTTCAGCTTTGGCAGGAGATATGGTGGGAAAGGAGTCTCGATGTTAGGGAATGCCCATATCACACCCCAGCTGGCTATTTAATCATGAAATAAGGAGAAATACAAATATTTGGTCAAAACACCTTTAATGATGGAGGGAAAGACATGAATATCTCCCCTGTCTGCTCTTAACAGTTAACTATGTTAGGAAGCTCTGGAGCCTACAACTTTGGAGGAGACACCATCATTCAAATCAGTCAACAGCAAACCCTCACTCTCTCCTCCTCTGAACTCCTGTTCCAAATGATCCTATGTTAAGAGTAAATACTACATCTTATTACAAGACAGAGAGGCAGGGAGGATACCACCTGGAACTCATCCCCCAAAGTCTGGGACTCTAAGAACTAGACAGTGGTAAAAACACCAGCCCCAGCTCAGGGATAGGCAAAATGGGGAGGAAAGGAATCTTGAGAGAGGAAGATGGGGAAATACAAGGGACCAGGGAATAATGGGCGGAGTTATCTAAAACTAGAAGCACACTAGTGCTAGGAAATCCCCCATGATCTCTAGTGCACTGCTGCACACTATGTTACTATCAGCCCAAAAGAATATGCATGAAAATATCCACATTCACAAGAATTTGAAGTCCCCTCCTTTTGATCAGGTCCCTTTCGTAGTCATATAGGTTCCCAGCAAGTTCTATGCTTTAGCAGCATTCCTCAACTCTCCCTCCTTACTTCAAGCACCCTCACCAACAATGTTCATTTAAAAGATAGGAAAACTAACTTCACATTTCCCAAAATATCCCATGGGAGACCTGTTGGCAAGAAATCAGCTTGTTTCTCAACTTTAAGAGGCCATGATGCATGGTAAGCTGGAGGTGTCTTGGCATACTGACCAACCAACATCTTTGCCTTACTTAATGTGACCATCGAGGGATTTGCTGGGAAAATTGTCCTATGCTCTCCACTTCTCTCTACCTCCTAGGAGTGAACCACCAATTACTGGAACATCTTCACTGACGGCACCTTCTGGAGCAGGAGGCAGGAGAAGGAATGTACAGTTTGTTATTGTCTATGATGGGCTTTTCAGGTGCTGAGAGGCAGGAGGCTGAAATGGGGTGGGGGGGGCTGTCTTCTCCTTGGCCTCTCTGGATTCTGTTGTTGGAGGTACCTTCCCAGTCATAGTTCCTGGGCTAAACAGCACTGGTGAGGCCAAGCTTGAAGTGACAGTGGAAGTGGAGGTGGAATTCCAGGGTTTAGTGGGCAGGCCACTTGACAGGAAAGCCACATACTGGTTCCAGAGAGATAGGGGACCTACCCTCACCAGCTGAGCAAAAAGGTCCTGGGACAAGAAGTCCTGCAGGTTGACCTGGTCACCAGAGAAGAGTGGTGCTGTGCCCCCCAGAGACAGCTGCAGCCCCTTTGGGCTGGGCTGCAATTCCAAATGTGGGTGCTCAGGTGCACCTGCCAAAGGGAAAGGGAGAAGGAAAGAGGAGAGGGAGGGTCACCCCAGGGAAACTGAAGAGGGTTCCCCTTGAGAATGTGAAAGCTGTAGAGAGTCTATTTTCCTCAGAATGAAGAGGGGGAAAAATTCCTCTGGGGGCCATCCGCTTGTAAGCACAATAATTTCTAAGCTCTGAGAAGGGACTAGAGGAAAGCCGTTAGGGACACAGCATAGAAGAACTCAGAGAAGACAAAAATAAAGGCTCATAAATCTTAAGAGTTCCTTCTGTGGAGCTCTCAGTTTCTGCTGCCTGGGTCAAAGGGCAGCAGGTACAGAAAACAGGCTCATGGAATCGTGGGGTCATCTTTTCGGGGAAAGGGGGAGAGCCCTGGGGAAGTGATGGAAGGCGAACATCCAGGGATCAAGGAAAGAGCAGCAATATTCTGAGGGCCGTGGGGGGCAAAGGGCTGTACCTGGTGGTGAGCCAACAGCATATGCTTCTTGAGGGTAGCCCGCTCCAGAAAGCCCTGTCTGCAGAAGACACAAGTGAAGAGTGGCCCTTCCTTGGGGTGGGTCTTCTGATGCTCCTCCAGAGCTGCCTGGGTGGGAAAGGAGTGGCCACACACTTCACAGGTCTTCCTGCTGCTGCTCTCTCCTGGCTCCTTTCTCATTGCTTCCTGCAAGTTCAGCTCTTCCACCAAGGTGGTGCTGGTGCCCTCCCCTTCTGGGGTGAGAGCTAACTTTGGGCTTGAGCTCCTCTCTGGTTTGCCCCCCTCTTCCTGGCCTCCTGAAACATCACTACTTCCCTGCTCCATTGACTGAGGCTGATCCAGGCTGTTAGGTGGTGGTGGTGGTGGTGGAGGCAGAGAAGACTGTTGAGTTGCTTTCTCATTATTGTCCATCCCCTTCCCAGCTGTGGCTGTTGCTAAAACCATCCCCACTTCCTCCTCTGCCCCAGATGCCTCTTCTGAATCACCTCGTACTGATATTGCCTTCTCACCTCCACTCTCTGAACCTCTCCCTGCCAGGGAATCTTCATCAGTCACATCTTCCTCTTCCTCCTCATCTTCCTCCTCCTCCTCAGACAACTCCTCTTCTGGTAATGGCTGCTGAGATGGCTGCTGGGAAAAGCTCCCTGCCCCAGAGACTGCAGATTGCTCAGAGCCATTCTCCTGGGCAGCTCCTCCACCTTCAGGGAGTGTGGTACTACCATTGGGGATCTGACCCCCCAGGTGCATCCGAACGTGCTGCTGCAGACTGACAGCATTGGTGAACTTCTTCTGGCAGATGGGGCAGGAGTTCTGGGCCCGGGCCGCTGGACTGGCCTTATGGCCTACGAAATGTGCACGTAGATTGCCCCGAGTGGAGAAAGCTCTGCCACAGACTTTGCATTTGAAGGGTCGCTCACCTCCATGTTGGCCATAATGCAGGCGTAGGGCCCGAGGACAGCTCAGTACCCGAAGGCAGATGACACACTGATTAGGTCCACATGAGCCTGAGGAAGAAGGTATAGGGGCAGAGGTGGTAGGAGCTCCTGAGGCAGTAGAGGCCACTGCTACGGCTCCTTGTCGGTCAATCTTTTCTACCAGTTGCTGCAGCTTCGATGTCTCAGAGGGTGAGGCTCCCAAGGGCTCTAGTACATAGGGGAAGGGGAAGCTGCCAGTGGACTTGAAGTGGTTGGTAAGCAGTGCCCAGCTTGGTAGTGAAGTCACCAGCTTATTTAGCTGCATACGGGTTGCTGGGCCACTTTCTGTCACCCCACTGATGGCGGAGCCCTCACTCCCTGGAGGAGTGTTTTCATCAGCTTTACTCTTGGGCTCCACTGCTTTCATGAGCACAAACTTATTGAAAGCAGGGAGCCCTGGAGCTGTGGCTGTGCCTGCACCAGTGGAGAGTAGTGTCAGGCTCTCTGTGGCACTGAGTGCTGTAGTGGAAGCCACCAAAGGCTTGCGCTCAACACCTCCACCTGGAGTGGCTGCCTCTTCCTCTGCCTTCTCTGGTGGCACGGACATACCATAAGGCAGGCCACTGCCAGTGATGACATAGTCTAGGTGCTCTGGCACTGGGTGTGGGTTCATCTGCACGTGTGGGTACTTCTCACGATGCCGGTGAAAATGCACTTTGAGGTTGCCACGGGTGGTAAAGCGGTTGCCACAGACATTGCACTTATAGGGCCTCTCACCCGTGTGGGAACGAAGATGGATCTGCAGGGCACTGTCACTGCCAAATACTTTGGCACAGAAGCGGCATTTGTGCCTTCCACCAGGCTTCTCCAAGGGACCCATCACTTCCCCAAAGCCCAGCTCACCACTTCCATTCTTTGGCTTTAGGAGCCCTGGGGAGGCAGCAGCTTCAAGGCCTCGGGCTGCCCCAAGACACTGTGCTGCCAGGAGTCCAGTGGTGCTTGGGAATGCCAGATGAGGCGAGGCAATCAGCTGATCTGTGCTGCCTGGTAGGGCTGGGGAGGGGGCAGGAGTGGGCTTGTGGCTTCGCCCAACCCCTCCAGCAGAGAAAGGATGCTGTGATCCCAGTGGGTGGTAAAGGTGGAAGAAAGCCTGCTTGGGTGTTTCTGCCCCTGAGGAAGAGGAGGAGGAGGTGGAGGAAGATGCCAGTGTCTTGCCAGTTTGGACAGGCTTGATGGGGCTGAAGAGTGGTAGTAGAGGCTTGGTAGAAGAGGCTGTTCCTGTCCCAGGTAGCTCTGAGGGACTGGCAGGGGTGCCCACCGTCTGGCCTAAGGAGCCAAGCAGCAGCACCTGCCTGCAGATTTGCTCGGTCATCTGCATCTGGTGGATCTGCCGCTGCTGCAGCACCCGAAGCTCTTCCAAGATCAGGGGAATGTTCAAGTGGCCGCTGCCTACAGTTGGGGGCGGAGGGGGAGGTGGTGGAGGAGGGGGTGCAGGGGTGGATTCTGGAGGTAATGGGGTTGCTCCCAGTTTGGGACTGGCCAATATCAGGCCCCCGCCTCCCCCAGCCGCTGTACCTGTGGCAGCGACCAGGAAATGCCCTGAAGACTCCTCTCCTCTCCGCTCTGGGCCCCAGGTGGGATCTGTGGGCACAGAGGAGCCAGAATCGGGGGGATTGCTGTGCTCTGTATCCATGACCTGGGGACTACTGTGACCCTCTGGCCGAGGTTCAGAGGAGGCTGAAGAGTTGTTGGGGTTCTCCTGGCCCCCAATTATCACCATTACAGGAGGCTCAGTAGAACATGCATTCTGGTGGGCGAGGAATTCAGTTGGGTCAGTGAATTGTGCGCAGCACTTGGCACAGACTTGAGGGTGGTCCTCCTCGCTAGCATCACCTGGGGAGAAGACAAGGAGAGAGAGCGCGTGGGTGGTGTGGTGGGGTTGGGTATACAGAGGCTCTAATTCACAAGGAGCCCAGAGCCCAGTAACCGCTAGTTGGGGGTGGGGAAATGAGCTCAGCATCAGGCCATGCAGAAGACTAGATAGAGCTCAATCCTAACCCTCATGGACAGGAGACACCCCTGCATGGGATGGTGGGGGGCGGCAAGAGCATGCTACTCCTTTCCTCTGTCACCCTCCCTTCCCCAGGACACCAGCAAGTGCAAGGAATGGGTGTGAGGTGAGGGGCCTATGTAGAGAATCGTGCATTTTATCCCGCCCACTGAAAGTCCTTATCCCAGTGCATCCCCTCCGCCCCCACGCCTGCCCGGCCGGACCCTACCGCACCTCTGAGCTCCGCAGGCTCCCCGCAGGGCCCCCCGAGACGAGGGCTCCTCCCAGCTTCTTGCGCCATGGTTGTGGGGGAGGGAAGTGGAGGCCCAGGTGGGGTGGCAGACAATGGATATTAGGATAGAGGGAGGCGGCGCTGGCCGCCCGGGCTGCGGCAGCCTCTGCACCCAGCGGCCCAGACTGCGGAGATGGAGATCAGCGGCGGGGGCAGGGAGCAGCGGCAGAGGGGGAGGGGAACCAGGAGGCGCGGAGGAGGGGAGGAGCTGGAGCGAGAAAGCTGGGAGAGGGGAGATGGGGGAGGAGCTGGTGAAGAGGGGAGTTTATGGGGAGGAGCTGCTAGGGAGGGAGGCGGGAGTTGGAGGAGGCGGGAGCGGGGAGCGCAAGCTGGGGTGCGGGGCGGGAGCCCAAAGCCCAGGAGAGTTTCCGGAGGCTCCGTGACAGGTGCTGTGAGGCACAGTGGGGGTCCACCTTTCCTTGTACTCGGCCAACTCCCCCCATCTCCAGATGTCTTTGCCCAGGCCTGCTCTCCCCCGCTCCCGTAGACTCAAGGGGCACAGTGGGAATCGTAACCCTGCTCAATAGAGCAAGGCGATAGGCTTCTCTTATTTTTCTTTGGATAAAGGATCCTCTGCGCCTGGAAAATGTGGATTCCAGAGGTCTGAAGACCAGAGGGGAAGAGGGAGCTCAGAACATTCCCTCCTCACCAGCACGCACCCCAAAATTCTCTACTCCCATCTCTCCACGAAGTTTCTCAGGGTGGGCTGCTGCAAGGAAGAATTTACAAGGACATCATTTCAGGACTCCTCTCAGCAGCACACTACGTCTCTCTGCTCCCCCCCCTCCCCCCGCCCCAAGAATAATAGTTGAATGTAAAAGCTACTTCAGAGATCACCCAGCCAAAACCTAATGTACAGAGTTCATGCTCATTTGAGAAGGCTTCTCTTACTACCTTCTCACGTACCCTATTCTCCTCTGGCCACACTCCCACACTAGCACAGTTAAGGTAGTGGGTTTAGAGAGATAGTAGCCTGTGGGGGGCCTAGGGAGGCCCACCCAGCTCTAACTGGGGGAAGGAAAGCTCTCCTGAAACAATGAGGAAAATGCAGTAGGCACTACTAGACAGCCTTTCATTGTCTAAAACCCCTTTCAGCCTCAACCTGGTTTCAAAGCTGGCTCACCACTACAGAGACAGCCCCCTATTCAGAAAGGATAAGTAAGGCTACGATGCCTCCTGGACCAGGTAGGCTGCATTCCCTTTTTACCCTGAAATGAGTCTTTTTTTTTTTTTTTATAGGCGTGCTTGCCACCGTATCAGCTTGCCTGCTGGCTCCTTCCTTCCTTCCTTCCTTCCTTCCTTCCTTCCTTCCTTCCTTCCTCTTTCTTATTTTTTTAGAGTCAGAGTCTTGTTCTGTCACTCAGGTTGAGTGATGTAATTGTAGCTCACTGCAGCCTCTAACACACCTCTAGCCTCAAGTAGTCCTCCTGCCTCAGCCTTCCAAAGTGCTGCGATTATAGGCCATAAGCACCTATGCCCAGATAGAAATGAGCCCTAAAAGATTTCCCACTTCCTAAAATACTTTATCTTGTATGCAGGAAGTGAGCATAAGTCCTTGGTTTTGTGATTTGCCTAGACATTAGTACACACATTGTTCTTTTGTTGTTGGTGGTGGTGAGACAGAGCCTCAAGCTGTCACCCTGGGTAGAGTGCTGTGGCATCACAGCTCACAGCAACCTCCAACTCCTGGGCTCAAGCGAGTTTCCTGCCTCAGCCTCCCAAGTAGCTGGGACCACAGGCGCCCCCCACAATGCTCGCCTATTTTTTGGTTGCAGCCATCATTGTTGTTTTTGGCGGGCCTGGGCTGGATTCGAACCTGCCACCTTAGGTGTAGGTGGCTGGCGCCTTAGCCACTTGAGCCACAGGTGCTGAGCCAACCCACATTGTTCTAATTCCAGTTCCATTCTTGCCCAGCTGGTAAATTGAGGCATGGTGGTCAGTCACATCATGCTATGCCACCATCTCCCTTTTCATAAAGTAGTAATATTGTAACTGAACTATCTTCCTTAGAGAGATATTGTAGGGACAAAAAAACAAAATTGCAAAACTTTGACAAATAATATGAATGTGTACAAATGGGCCTTTTTAAAGCTTAGGGAGTCCTGAATGTTGTCAATTAGAGAATTTACATTCTCAGTAATAAAATAAAGTAACCTCATATACACATACTAAAATTCGATTTGTTTTCTATGTTGCTTGTTAATCCTATTAATTTTTGAGGTCAGATGTTGGCTAATATCATGGGCATATGTGAAGGATAGGAAGTCTTTTGGGGGGTGGGGAGTTATTAAAACAACCTAATTATTAAAACATTAGTAACATTAGTAACATGCTCTTTACTTTTTCTTCTTCTTTTTTCTTTTTTAAGATAGACCCTCGAGCTGTCACCCTGGGTAGAGTGCCCTGGCATCACAGCTCACAGCAACCTTCAACTCCTGGGCTTAAGCAATTCTCTTGCCTCAGCCTCCCAAGTAGCTGGGACTACAGGCGCTCGCCATAACGCCCAGCCATTTTTTGGTTGTAGTTGTCATTGCTGTTTGGTAGGCCTGGGCTGGATTTGAACCTGCCAGCTCTGGTGTATGTGTCCGGCACCTTAGCCACTTGAGCTTCAGGCCCCGAGCCCACTTTACTTTTCTTTTTTTGAGACAGAGCTTCAAGCTGTCCCCCTGGGTAGAGTGCCCGGCATCACAGCTTACAGCAACCTCCAACTCCTGGGCTCAAGTGAGTCTCCTGCCTCCACCTCCCAAGTAGCTGGGACCACAGGCGCCTGCCACAACACCTGGCTATTTTTTGGTTGCAGCCGTCATTGTTGTTTTTGGCTAGGCCTGGGCTGGATTCAAACCCGCCACCTTAGGTGTATGTGGCTGGCACCTGAGCCACTTGAGCCACAGGCACTGAGCCCCACTTTACTTTTCAACATAAATTTTGCCTCTGTTTTTAAATTGAAGACATTTTACTGAATTGTGTCAGATAATCAAAAGCCACTTAGAATTATGAATCATAGCTCTAAACAGCTAGGCTTTGCTTCTAGGTCTAACCTTTACAAATGAGGGAGAAGGGGGTGTATTTCACTTATGGCAAGTCACGCATTAGTGCAATGTGGTTTATTTCTTCAAGATAAGGAAACTGAAGATTTGGAGAGGTTAAGAGACTTTTCCAAGTTCACACAGTAATTCACAGATGCTAGCATTCAGAATTTTGACTCCTGCCCCATGCTCTCTCAAGCATATCAACATTATATGGCTTTCCTAATGCTAGAGAATGGGCCCTGTGTGGCTCCTACCTGCCATTTGCTCTCTGGCCTTAGTGAGCGAGAGGGAATCAGATAGAAGCTTTCTTCTAAGCATTTGTTAATTAGCATTGAACATTTGATATCCAGTTGCTGTTTTGTCAAGTCTTCTGACAAGAAAAGAAATCCTTTTCTTTTCATCTTCTCCTGGGAAACACTGTCCCCTTTCTTGCTCTTTAATGAAACGTGCTTTCTGATGCGTAATTTGATCTACACGCTTCTTTAAGGTAAATTTAGTCCCTGGTGAAAGGTGATGGATCAACAGCCACCTGTAAGAAGAACCCTCCACTTCTGAGCAGTTTGCACTCACTGCCTACCCTGAAAAAGGGGGGCAGGATTCTTACACAGACATGAATGAAGTCACAAACACAGGAATAAACTAAACTGGTAATGATGTCCCTAGATAGCAGATAAGGTGAATGAAGGTATCCAGAGTCACATGCAAAGTCTGGGGTGGATACAGGACTAAGACCTGGACATGCTTGTTTAAATTTACCAAGAGCTGAAATGACAAAGAAAAAGGAAACCAGGTGGCTTCCCCTCAAACTTGGTGCCCCATCAAACTTCTGCCTTATGCTCGGGAGAGAATGGTTGAAAAGAACAAAGTGAAGAACATGCCTATAATCCCAGCACTCTGGGAGGCCCAGGCCAGATCACCTGAGCTTAAGAGTTCAAGACCAGCCTGAGCTAGAGTAAGACTATGTCTCTAGAAATAGATGGGCATCGTGGCAGGCACCTGTAGTCCCAGCTACTCCGGAGGCTGAGGCAAGTCAATCACTTGAGCCCAGGAGTTTGAGACTGCTGTGACACTCTACCCAGGGCCACTAAATGAAACTGTCTCAAAAAAAAAAAAAAAAAAGAAAAGAAAGGAAAAGAAAAAGCAAAATCCCTAATAGTACTATTCAGGCATTAGTATGTTTGTAAAGCTCCTTAGGTGATCCCAATGTACAGCCAAGGGTGAGAACCACGTTGTCAGAGAAGTGCCCTTCTCATCAAACCTCCACCATGCTCCTCACAAAGCTTACAAGGCTGAAATTTGGACAGGCAAAGTGACTTCTCAGAGCGAAATCTTCCCATCAGGCTTTCTCTCTACTCGGTCTACAACCACACTTTAGCTCACTTCTATCCTTTTCTGGGGAAAAATCTGCTTCCACAAATAAAATTTGATGTAATTTACACCTGGATGGAAACTTCAGCTACTGTTTGTTTGTTTGTCTGCTTTTTGTGAGACAGAGTCTCACTTTTTCACCCTAGGTAGAGTG